CTTCATTTGATGTTCTAGGGTTTCAGGATTGTTGATTCTCTGTTTGGCTTAGTTTTTCGGATCTTTGTTGTGGAGGGACGGCGTGGTGTTTCTGCCTAGAGCGCCATCTTGCCGGAAGTCCTCTCATTATTTTACTTTTTAATGGACAAATTCCTCTGAAAAGTACCTCTTGCAATTTAGGAAGTGGGAGATTTCCCAGAGAGAACATTTAGCAAAAGTCACGTGGTTCCAAATGCAAAATAGACACCCTGTATAGCTGAACCTCGTGGAGAGGAAGAGGGATTGAAGAATGGCTGAAAGGCAAAATGGCAGATTCCTTTTGTTAAGTTTAGGTTCATTCTGGACTCTCACAAAAGGGAGAAATAGACATTGAGTCCTGAAAACCAGCTGCCAAAGATAAGTTACCAAAAAATGCTTGTCTTAAAATTAAAATTTGCATTAGATTATAAAAAACATCATTCCAACTAGGGTGTGGGTATAAACTGTGAGTTCATTGTTACGATTCTGGTAAAGGATTAATAAAGGTTAATGAGTGTGCTCCAGAATCTTACCTTTGAATATAGTATTTAACAGATTGTTTTAGTAAAAAGTATGCAAACTAAATTGGAAGGAAGGCAGTGAGCTCTAACCAAATCTCAGGAAAAGCACACCTTAATGCTGTGTGATGTCTGTCATATACCACAAACACCAAGCACTCCTAATCCTGTATCAGCAATCTGGAGAAATTAACTAAGTGGCAAAGCAGAAGCCACCAGGTTACAGCCTGTAGCATCGTGTTTACAATCTATTGCTTCACCCGGTACGGCACAGGCTCTGTGGTCCTGCGGCTTCATGAGAGAGCACCTCTCTCTTGTTGAATTTACTTAGGCTGGAAGTACTGATTTCTAACCCCACTCCCCGTGTCGCTCTGTGCTTATCAGAATGATAGTTGGCTCTTTTGCCCTTATCACGCTTTCATTTGTTTCCCCTAATCATGTTGGTAATTATTAATGTAATGTAAATATCTTTTCTTCCAGTCCTCCTCGCCCTCTGACTAATATGAATGACACCATGGTTAGCCACATGTCCTCTGGAGTGCCCACCCCCACCAAGAGGTATGTATGTCTGTGCCTCGGTCACCACACAGAGTTGGGTCCAGGCTCTGCTGCCGCTCTGCCGGGTTCCCTGAGGCCCTGGGAGCTGAGCATTCTGCAGGGCAGACAGGGCTGGCTTCCTGTCTCCTCTTTTGACATTTTATAATACTATTTTCTACTTTTTATCTTCTTTTTTTCTACCAACTCAAAAATATAGCATTTGAAGGAGTCTGCTTTTGAGTGGTGCTTGAGATGGGAACTTCATTTGTGACATCAGTGAACATAGTGTGAACGCAGATTAGGCATGTTTGAGGCTTTTACAAAAAACATTAAACAATATTTTGACAATCATGAGTTTCAACAATTTTGCATTTGGGTTCTTTGAGTGTCAAAGATCATTTCTGCTTACTGATTAGACTGTACAAATTGAATTAATCCCTTATAAAATATTGTCCTGAATCATTCTGGATATGATCATAAACATTTAAGTTGAAAAGCCTGAGTCCCTCTCTTATTTAAGCAAGCACTTTCCTTTAGGGTCCTTCAAGGAATTAGAACTGTGTATTCCTTTCTCCTTTTTACGGAATTTACTCTTCTCCAAAATTCTCTTAGGCCAGACTTAAAAGAACTATATAAAATGGCTCCTTACTTTCTATTTGATGAACCTGTTCCAGGACCAGAGCAATGCAGAAACTCCCTCCAGGGCACAGCCGTTAAAGAATTCTAACAGTCATCACTCAAAAAGAAAAAAAGCAACAACAAATTCCAGCCCACCCCCCAAGTCTTTCCTGAAGAAAACCACTTTGTGCCATATGTACTGATTGCTTTGGATTAATTCAGCTATAGAAATGTTGCCTGCTTAACTGCACTCTGACTTAATATATATACGTTGTTGTTGTTGTTGTTAGGTGCCGTCTAGTTGGTTCCAACTCATAGCGACCGTATGTACAACAGAATGAAACACTGCCCAGTCCTGTGCCATGCCCACAATCTTTGTTGTCCTTGAGCCCATTGTTGCAGCCACTCTGTCAGTCCATCTCATTGAAGGTCTTCCTCTTTTTCGATGACCCTGTACTTTACCAAGCATGACGTATGTTAGTGTGTAATATGTAATACTTAAGGCCAACAATTTTTGTTCCCAGTGGCTAAAACTCCTACAGCAAACTTCTGATGAGATGAATCACCTGGGTCACTTGTTAAAAACAGAAATTTTTAGGACCGTATCAAACCCAATGAATCAGAATTGCCAAGTTGAGGATCCTGAGAAGCTGTATTTTTAACAAGTATTCCAGGTGATTCTTATTACTAAGCAAGTTTGGGAGACAGCCTTAGAAGGAGGCTAAGGAGTAAACTGTAGGGCTACCCTGGAGTAGAGAGAGGATTTAATGACTAGATGAAGCAGAGTAACCTGATAATACAATATCCACGTGGAGACGCAAGACTTTGACCAGGTAAGAGTATTGCCCGCAGCCTTGTTGGGACACTTCTGGCTGTGGAACAACCAAGTTGCTTCTTTTGGGCAGACTTGTGTGGTACAATGTAGAGTAAGAGTATAGGCTTTTGAGCCAGACTGTCTGATTTTGAATCCTGGCCCTGCCCTGAACTTGAACAAGTTTCTTATCTTCAATTTTTTATCTATAAAATAGAGACAATAAATGGAACAACCAGAATGGAAATAATGTGAATGCTCACACATTGAGGAAAATGTAACCAATGTCACTGAACAATTTGTGTAGAAATTGTTGAATGGGAACCTAAACTGCTATGTAAACCTTCACCAAAAACACGTTAAAATATTATCTAAAAAACAAAAACAAAACACTGCCCTCTGCAAAAAAAATAGAGACAGTAGTAATATCTACCTTATGGAGTTTGTGTGAGGATTTAATATATTGTTTTTATTATTTAGGAAGTAACAAACTGGAATGAGAGGGCAGATGATGAATCAACAGGATAATTTAAGAACAATGTCCTCTCACGGAAGAACAGAGATCTTCTGGAAGAATACAAAGCAATTAAACCTCTCCCACCTACCTAGATATTTCAGAAACCCCTGCTGTCCTCAGTCCTTAGTTTTTTTGTGTTTAAACATGTATAGCATTCAGACCCAGACCCAGAAACTTAAATATCAACTCAGGGATTTTTCCATTTCAAATCCAGGAACACAAGGTGGATTATTGAAAGACGTTAGAGGTTTTATGTTAATTTTAGAAACGCCATCTACTAAGTAGGATTTCACTTCACCTGTATTCTTCTCTTCATTTACTAGTTTCATCACTCACTGCTGAGCACCCGAGGGCCGTAAGTGTCTGGTGACAACGGGCATAAGTCAGATGTCTGCATTTAGTGACCACAGCTGAGTGTAGCTGCTAGAGGCTATTAGAGGGAGTGATCTTCTTGGACAGTGCTTTATTGCTTGAGAAGACTGGAAGAAATGACTCCAGAGCAATAATAACCACAGCTGCCTCTGTAAAGGATTAATTCATAGGCTTGATGTTGTTGTATTAAGCCCCAGGCTTTATCATAAGTGGCCAGCTGCAATTGCCAGTCAAAAATTATGTCTGCCATTTTTGAAAGCTTTTTCATATATGTAGTATAGCCTGAGCTGAGATTTTGTTTTCACTTGAGCATTTCAACTAATGCCTCTTTCTGGGTGGAATTAGCCAGTCCTAGAAGTGGTTATCACAGGCTCTCTAGGAGCTGGCCAGCAGACCAAAAGCAGCCAACACCCTTAGCAGACCAGAAAGGACGGTTGAGCTCTGCAACAAACCAAAAAGAATAGTTGCTTGAGTAGAGGCCACAAGGGAACAAGATGCCCCAACCCTAACAATATAGTCCTTAGAATTTTAGGAGATTTCATTTATATTTGGTATGAGATTATGACATATCATATGGACATTAATTGCACAATTCATAGACTTATTGATAGACTCTTCATGGCCCCAATTAACCAAGTAGTATAAATTTCCAGCAAGTGTTCTGTTTACTTCCTCAAGGACTCATCAGTTTTTCTTTGCTCCTCTGAATGTCTTCAGACCTATGTCTCCAGAGTCTGATGAACGCCAGGGGCCAGCACGTCATCAGAGCCACAGAAGCCTCACTCTCCTGAGGCAGAGAATCCTCAAGCGGGAGAAATCCTCTCTGCAGAAATGAGAGGTCTGTTTTAGAAGGCAGCATAAGGCATAAGTCACTGAGTCAGACAAGAGCGTACACAGTAATAAAAACGCAAGAAAAAATTAAGAGAACTAGTTTCTCTCTTTTCAGTAGGGACTGTGTGTAAAAATAATGATAACACAGTGGTCAAGATAATATTATATTTGTCCAAATAAAAGATAATCTCAAATGTAAGGGAATCCTACTTTTTCTAGAAGAAAAGCGTATGAATGGTAAAGATGCTAACCATTGTGTGACACTATAAATTATGTTCCTGAAAGGTACTGCTCTGGGGATTTGCCCTCTATAATATTCTTTTAATATTCCTGTATTGGTATTTCTGTGCTTGAAAAGAAATTTTGCCCTTGCCTTAGACTCAATACTTTTTTGGAACTTGCTTTTTTGAAAAGAATTAGAACAGTACATTTTAAAACAAACAACAGCAAAACTTGACAGAACTTTAAAAGAAAGGCTTAAAACGCCTTTACCCCATATGATTTCCTCCTAGGCTTGCTTCTAGCTCTCTCCTTCTGCAAGGTTCAGAATGTGAATTGTGTCTTTATGCTCTGTGCTTTGTGCTATTTTAAGTCGTACCTTATATTCAGACCCTTATGGTAAACAAGGCTAATATTTTTTATTTTTTAAATGTCTTATAAAGCTTCACCTTTAATTATTTATGAATCCTTATGCTTTTACAGTTCTGTGGGAATTTCATATAAATACGGCAGTAAGAAAAACCTTAAATATGAAACTCTTTTTTGCTTTGCGCATTCAGTTAGTATATTAGTTGTAACTCTTTCAATTTCAAGTTATTAAAACTAACTTAAAAAGGCGCAAACCCACAAAGTCAGATGCAGACAGGGAAGGACAGAGGTATACATGAGCCACGAAAGCAGCTCGAGTGCCAGCAGGATGGTGTTCCATCTCCACCTCTTGGCTTCTTCTCTTGGGATGCCGTCTTCCTTCCCTCCTACTGTGGAACAGCTACTTCTAAATACTGCCAGTGGCTTCAGACAGCTTTGCCACTCCAGAGGTTGTGCCTTTCCTCCTTAGGTTTCAACTAGAAAAATCCAAGGAAGGAGCCTTATTGTCCTGGACTGTATCACGGCCCATCCCTGTGCATATGTGATTGGTCATGCCAATAGACCTGTATCATCAGAACAGAGGGAGAAGCATTTCCCCAAAAGGAGGGTTGTACTGTCCAGAAAAGAAGAGAGAGATCCTGGGGAAAGAAAATAATAGAGGTCCTTAGCAGACCACCTCTTTGCTACTCAGCACACAGCTGTGTGCAAAAGTGTATTATGCATGTGTACATACACACTTTCCCATACACACTTCCATTTGCAGAATTTTCCCCATTCACATAATGCATTTCTCCCTTTTACAACTGCACATGTACTTGCACCCCTCCCAGGAGTCTTAGCCACCTCTTGTAGTCAGCACTGGGTTGAGGATATCTGGGTTCAGTCCCTTTGTCCAAATCAAGTCTAGGTATGTCTTTTTGTGATTCATTAACCTATGGACCAAATGATAAATTTTAAACACACACTCAATATATGAGGATAGAGATCTGAAAATAGGATAAGAGCAATTAGGGAAATCTCCCATTTAGAGAAAGGGGAAAGAGGGAAGTAGCAGATAACATGGCATATTAAGCCACATTTGTCTGGGCTCCCTTCTGAAATACCACTAAAATGTCAGTCAAGGGGCAAACCCACAAAGATCAAGGGAAGAAGAGATGATAGCAACAAAATTTTGGAAGCAGCAAAGCAGATGGATTAGTGGTAATTGATTCAAGAGACTGGAGAAGGCTAAAACCTTAGCTGGCAGTGAGAGAAGCCCAGAAAAAAAGGCAACCCCAAAGGTTA